CTACAAAAAAAAAAAAAAAAAAAATACAAAAGCTAGCTGGGCGTGGTAGCACAGGCCTGTAGTCCCAGCTACTCAGGAGGCTGAGGTGGGAGAATTATCTGAGCTTGGAAAATCAAGGCTGCGGTGAGCTGAGATTGTACCTGTGCAGTCCAGCCTGAGTGACAGAGCAAGATTTTGTCTAAAAAAAAATGAGTGTTATATGGCTGAATATGCATATAGCTATAGTGTCCAATACAGTTTGCCAAAACTAGTGTTAGAAGTCATAAAGGACCTAACACAGTGCTGAGAAATATACTATCCATCTCTCTAATAAATAAAATAATATGCTCACCCTCTGGTGGCCAAAATCGGAAATACACATCCATTTTCCTGGGTTACATCAAAAATATTAGTGTAGTATAATATATTAAGTTTCTGCTTTATATTTAACCTAAACCAAAAAGATTTTAAAAGGCCATTGACTTTAAAAAAATTTCTACTCCAATATCTAATATAAAATCAACAAAATTATTAACTATAGTAATTTAAGAATATGGCATGGCTTATAACAATACTTGATACTTAAAATTTAAATGTTTTAAAATATCAGAACTATTAAAATTTAGAGTTGTAAGGAATTACAGTTATCATGTAAGTCTATAATTTAAAACTGCAATGTTAATTAGTTTTTTAAACTTTGCTAATGAAATAAAAACATCTGGGTAAATAGAATTGAATAGTAATGAAACTTAATTTTTATATTTCTAATTTTAATTTATAAATATGCTAAAGCATTCAGAAATATTCATACTACATGTAAATTTGTTTTAATTTCCCACTCATTTTATTCAACTATTCTTCCAATATTTTTATCTATTATAGTTTTATGGTATATGTTAGGTTTTAACTGTCCTGCTTTCAACCTAATCAAATGTACCAACCAGTAAACAAACACCAATCCAAATATGATGAGTGCTACGCCAAAGGGTGAGGACTAAGTGTCAGTACCATCAAAGTAGTTTGTTGGTTGAGTAATCAGGAAAGGATTTTTGGGAAAAGTGACATATTCACTGATATCTGGAGGAAGAAGAGGGTAGAGAGAGGCAAAAAGGAAACATTACATAAAAAGGTGGGAGATGTGGAAACTGAGAGAATACGGAAGTTTAGGTTAAAAAAAAAAAGGTCAAATGTGAAAAGAAAACCTGAAGAATGTAGTGTCTCCAAAAGATCAACAGTGTCTAACACTGGAGAGGAGACTTTAAAATATCCTCCAGATTTAGTAACAGGGAATCTTACTAAATGTTGTTTGGTAATTCAGTAGAAACAATGAATGGAAGTCAAGAAAGTGGGAGGAACAAAGTGAACAATTCTTTTCAAGTCCTTTTGCTGTGATAAGGAGGACAGAAATAAGATAATAGAAAAAAATGGCGAATGAGAGCCTTCTTAAAGATAAAGAGTCTAGAATATGTATAAATAATAACGGGGAAAAGATAATACTGAGGGAATGTTTGTAGATAAAATTCATTCCTGAGGAGTTTTAATGGGGACACTGATGAGACTGGCAAGAATGGAATCCAGAACACAGAAGAGATCTGACACATCTAGATGTCTTTTTTTTTTTTGAGACAGAGTCTCACTCTGTCACCAGGTGCCAGGCTGGAGTGCAGTGGCGCAACCTCGGCTCACTGCAACCTCTGTCTCCCGGGTTCAAGCAATTCTCCTGCCTCGGCCTCCCCAGTAGCTGGGACTACAGGCAGGTGCCACCACGCTCAGCTAAATTTTTTTTGTATTTTTTACTGGTAGAGACGGGGTTTCACCATGTTGGCCAGGTTGGTCTCGATCTGTTGACCTCGTGATCCGCCCGCCTCAGCCTCCCAAAGTGCTGGGATTACAGGCGTGAGCCACTGCGCCCAGCTGATGTCTTTTTTTTTAATTTGAGAGAGCCTCACCCTGTCACCCAGGCTGGAGTACAGTGGTGTGATCTCAGCTCACTGCAGCTGTCTCCTGGGCTCAAGTGATCCTCCCACCTCAGCCTCCTGAGTAGCTGGGACTGTAGGTGTGTACCACCATGCCTGGCTAATTTTCATATTTTTTGTAGAGACAGGATTTTGCCATGTTGCTCAGGCTGGTCTCAAACTCCTGGGTTAAAGCAATCCTCTGGCCTCAGCCTCCCAAAGTGCTGGGATTACAAGCAGGAGCCACCATGCCCAGCCCATCTAGATGTCTTTTTAGTAAGGCTGGATAATGTGCTTTTAAAATTAAACCACATGCAAAATTACCTTTGAAAATAACATGGTCAACCTGTGCAAAACTACTCTGAAAAAAGGAAGTGCCACACAAACTTAAAACATTCTTACATGTCAATCAATTATATGTAGTTGGTTACAGAATTATTACCAACCTATGAGTCAAGTATTTGAGGACTTGAATTAAGTTTTTTTTGGATATTCCAGTACCATAGTACTCAAGTAATTCTTAAAAAGTAATTTACTTAAAGATATAAAAAAAGTAACCTAGTTTATATTCATTATATAGTTAATTCCCTTGAGTTTTCATTTACTTGGAAGAAAGTTTAATTTGAAACGAAATATCTTTGTCTTTTCTAATGACTAATTGAAAATAAGATCATTAAGACAGTGTGGGGTTTTATTCCCCTTTAATAAGTGAGTAATGAAAAGAGGGGGAGGGAGAGGGTTGATATGTTTAAGTGATGACAGTGGTGGAAGGTTAAGTCCTAAATGCTCATTATTCCTTTTCTTGAGTTTCTGTGATTCATTATACCACCATATGTCATCTATTAGAAAAGATCTATCATCCCATTATAAAAGCCCCTTTACAATTTGGGACATAGATAATAATTTCATTATATGCTTTTAGTATCACATCCAGGTAATTAAATTTCCTGTAACTCAATACATTGTGAAATAGAACATATGGTCACATTTATTGGACTTATAAGGTATTTAGCAATTAATCAAATGTTTTCACATTTTATTACTTTTAAAGATACATCATCTGAAGAATTCCAACTGCTAGATAATGACAGCCTATCTTACAGATAGCTAAATCAAGGGTCAAAAACCCAAATGATATTTAAACTATGTGCCAATATGTACTGGGTACAAAAATAATATACTGCTGTAATAGTATTGATATTTCAAAAGCTGACATTTACTGGCAAGTAGTCTGTTACTGATATTATCATACAGTTATTAATTGCTTAATATAATTTTTCGTACCCTGTACTGCTTTATTAAATATAAAATAAATTTAATTCCTATTTCAAAATATATTTAATTAAAAGCAACCCACAAATAAATTCATAAAAGTTTACTATTAGAACAAAAGATTCCCACTATTGTCATTAGATTTTGGCTTCTTTACATAAAAATAATTTTTTGCAAATTTTGCTTTAATTTTTTTGTGTGATAGGAAAATTATATGGCTACTTTGATTTAACATTTTATTTATTTATTTTAGAGACATGCTTGAGTGCAGTGGTATGACAATAGCTCAGTGCAGACTCAAACTCCTGGACTCAAGGAATCCTCCTGCCTCAGCCTCATAAAGTACTGGTATTACAGACATAAGCCACCACACCTCGTCAGTTTTCGTTTGTTTGTTTGTTTGTTTTAGAGTACAAAAACCTAAAGTATAGAGGATTTTGTAGAATTTGTTTAATATTACTTTAAAAAATCTTACCTGTAATTTTATTTTGACTTGCTCTTCAAAAATAAAATGTGCTTAGATTTCCTGCTATATAAGAACACCACATATTGAAAGCATTATTTATATTTTAATAATAAAGTATATAACATGGACATAAAATAAAAATGCATACAAATTGAATAGATTCTTGTTTAGGTACATCAGTTAAATTAAGTAGCATTTAGTTGATTAGTAAATAACAGACTAAATCTGAAATAATTCTTAGTTTGGTAAGTTCTAAGTAGAATTATTTAAGAAATAAGAGAATATGTACAATAATATATCCATTCTTGTTGTTCATTCAGAGGCATTACATGTTGACAAACCTGCATATAAAAATAAAAAGCTTTTACTCTCTTTTTATATATTGTTATTTTTGGCTAATTTTTAAATAGGACAACATTTCCAGGCCTTGTAATAAGAATATGCTGTACAGATAAAATTCTCCCATATTTGTCCTTAGCAGAGACTAGCAATCTATGATCTGAGGTCTAACAGGATAATCCAGTCTAAATTCTATGCTAATATAGTAGCTGTCAGTTGGTGTGGGTGAATGTGGGTAAAGAAGAGTGGTAGAAAGAAGAGAAAATATTCTTTCCTTGCCAAACCTAGAAAATTTTCTAAAATCTTAATTGGAGAAACAAAAGATAGTCTCTTTATCCTGTTCTAGAATGTTTTAGGATTTTATGGACAACATGGAGTAAGAAAGGGTAAGAATAGGAAGCTTTTTCCTTTCTCCCTTCACTTGCACAGCAAGTAGGTTCAAAAACTGTCCCTGCCTTTGAACTCCTGGCTAAATTAGAAACCCAGAGTCCTGCTAATACCGGAATTCTAGCTGTCTCTAGCTCTTGACTTCTTTGCTTATCTAAAACTCAGCGGCATATTTCCTTTCAAGTTACTTTAGAAAATCTTAATAATGCAAATAAAAACATTCTGAGTTATCAAAATTCTTAGTACTATTAATACTTCACATTTCTATATGATATACAAAAATACTTTCATGTACATCATTTTACTTTTATCTTTACATTAACTTTGTGAAGTACGTAAAACTAGTGATATTATCTTAATTTTACATTTTAAGAGACTGGAACATAGCAGCAAATGAACTTCCCATAGTCACTCAACCAAACAGTGACAGAACTGGATTAGAATCAAACTCTCCTGTCAACTATAGAATGATACTGATATAAATATCATACTTAAAATAATTTTCCACTCCATTTTATATCTACATGTTTACTCATAGCATTAATAGCATTTTTTTTCAAAGACATAAAACAAAAAGCTTTAATTAGAAAATAATACATTACCATTGTAGAATTGGGCGCCACTTCTACTGCAAATATGTTGAGTCCTCTGTTGTTTATGCAGTTTTTACTTAGCTCATTGTTGATGTGAATAATCACTTTCTCATCTGACTGTAACAAAAAAGATTTCATAAGTTGCTAGTCCTCTCTTTATTACAGTCAAATATAAGCCTCAGAAAAAACCCTGAAATTCTGTTTTAATATCGTACAGTACACTACAGATTCATACAAATTGGCTACTTCTTTCGACTATGTATTTGTGACTTTTTGTCATTTATTTTCTTTCCAATCTGTCACCACTTACATAAACTTTTTCTTTTAAATGTGACTTAAATTTGCCTACCTTTTAATCTTCATTCCCAGGGTATTATGGATACCAGGGTCACATTATTTCATCCTTGACTTATAGTCTCTATTTCTTTTTGTTGTTATCTCTTGTTTTTTCTACTTCCATTCATATATCTTCCAACTAATATGTCTAAAATATCTTTTTACTCCTTCATTCACAATATATAAATAGATATATTTATCTAGTATCAACTGTCTAGGTGCACTGGGATAAAAGATATAATTACTGACTCCTAGCTCACACTCTAGGGGAGACAAATGACAACTACAAAACACTTTGCTGAGTCTTGTAATAGTGGTATTTACAGGGATCTACAGAAACACAGATGAACGTTAGCTCGGACTAGGGTTTCAAGGAAGACTTTATGGAAGAAGTAACAACTGAGATAATAGACAATGGCCTCTAGGATGGATAGGAAGCAAGGGAAAGCAGAACAACACTGATACATGGGAAAAATGCAGGAGTCAAAATATTCCCCTACTAAGAATCTGCAATGACATCCTAATGACTACAAAGGGGGTAGAGTAATGTTAGCCTACCTGAATTTATTTCTCAACTCTTCTACTACTTAGCTGGGTAATCAATTGCAAGTTATTTAACTTCTCTGTGCTTCAGTTTCCTGTTTATAAAATGGGAATAGCACTTATCTCATAGGGTTGTTGTGAGAAGTAAATGCTCTAATATATATAAGTGCCTGGGACATGATAAGTTCTAAAATGTTAACATTATCATCACATTTTGGTGAAGAGAGTTGAATTTGGGCAGAGAATTGAGAAATAATAGGTGATAGCAGAGGGGTTGGGGTAAAGTAGTGACTCCCTTCCACCTTTTTAACCCTAGTAAAACACAAAGGGAAGAAAGGGAACCATGATGGATCTTAGGAATCACCCCCTGGGGTATGATTGGTCCCTTTGAAAACTGCAGTCCACTAGGTGGGGACCCAAGCTTAATCAAGCCTAAACTCCGCTATCTTGTTTTCAAGATAACATATATAAATTGGATCCATTCCTTATGTTATTTAGCTTCCTAATCTTCCTCCAAATAAAGCTGTCTGCTTCTGCAAAGCAGATACTCTTACTCTTTCCTTCATACACTATATATTTCCTTCCCCATGATTCTCCTTACACCATTTCCCCTGCTTCTGAAGGCTCTCTGTTTGCATATCTAAATCCTAGTCATCCTTCAATGCTCAATACCATAGCTCCCTTCCCCCTCATATAAATCCTTCGCCAACTTCTATGGTCCACATTAACAACAACTACAAGAGAAACAAAATAAAACCCCTGTCACACACACAAACAGTACTTCATTACGTAATTTAATTATTCTCTGATGTCTTTCAAGAGTATTAATTTTGTCTTTCCAATTGTAGCCCATAAACTCCTTGAACTCAGAGATCATGTTTTACACTTTCTGGTGGCTCCAATTGTGACTAAAAGTGTTAGTTATATAATATATTCTCAGATTGACTAAAAACACTGCCAAATCTTAAGTATTTTAAGAAATGTATAGCAGGCATAAAAATAATATGTCTCACCTAGAACTAAAAGAAATAAGTCAACAGTACTGAGCAGCCAGCCATCTTACATAAAGTTTTATGAAAATTTATAATTTCTAGAGGACTGGATATTTCTGACTAAGAATTTATGCTCATATTCTCTTGACCTGTAATATCAATAGTATTAATAGCAGGGAAGACAGCCAAAGGTAGAAATAATCAGGTTGATTAAAGTAGGTCTTGGACAGTAGAATATAGTTAGTTAGATAAAATAATGATAATCTATAGGATCTCTGCAATGTTGCTGTAAAAATCTGGGTTGAATTTTTTTCCTTGTTTATAATATTTCATTAAAACATGATAGCTATTATTAAAAGCTATGTATATGTAAAAACTTTTAGAAACAAACTAAATAAAAGACATTGCACCCAGATTGTGCTCTATTTTTATTAATATCCAAATGTTTAATTTTCCTAATATTTTAAGAGAAAAAAATCTCAAACCTTTAAAAATCATGTAAAAATTATCAAACCCAATTTGAGTTAGAAACCTGAGGAGAAAAAATAATTATGCATTATAAACATTATTAATGTGATGGGATACTTAATTACCACATAAGAATAGAGTAAGGAATAAGATGAAATCTATTAGTAAAGTTTGTAGCAAAGTGAGGAGAACCACCTCATACTTGGTACCTTGTTTTCAACAACTGATGTTATCCAGGTGTCACAATTGTAAGTATGCACGATGATATTTTCATAGCCATCCATTACTTTGGCATCACCCTTGCTAAGAACAGATTTACAAATGGCCTTCTCAAGTTGTCCACTACATGCCTCCATATGGACAGCTTTAATTTTTGGCTTACATTTTTCTGCATAGATATCAATGACAAATGGACATGCCTTATAAGGAAAAAAAACAAATCTTGTTTTAGCCTTTTGATAGAATTTTAAATAAATTATTTATTAATGTGTTTACCACAAAAGATACATTATACCTTCTATCTTGACCTTCTAATACACCTTAAGAAGAAAATTTTAGTGCTGTGAATTAAGTAATAAGCAAGCATGAAATCCTGACTTTTTAGGAGCATATTAACTGATAACGTTTAATAGAAAATAAAATAATAATTTCTAGCAAATCAGTAATACACTACCTCCTTTAAGCCATCATAACATCTCTTCATTTGGTTCAATGCTAACAAATATCATGCTATCTAATTTTCTTTTCTAAGGTGAGGGCTACTGAAAGAATTCATCAAAGTGTTCTAAAGAAAGTATTACATTCACAATCAAAGCTTACTGCATGGACACAGAGCCCTGAATAACTGTTTAGTCTAAAAACACCTTTAAAATATGATATCTGAAAATATTTTCTGCATTTGGAATGAAATTTTTCTAATATCTACCTTTGTCTTTTTACCACAGCCTATAATGTGGTGAAAAAAAAAAAAAATAGAGCCAGTGAGGTAAAAGAGCCTTTGCCTCTCCATCCAACCTGGTCTCCTGTGTTTCTATGCTTCAGCTATCCTGATCTTCAGATCCTAGAGCAAATGAAGCCCTTCATACATAGTGTTCTCTCCACTTGGAAGATTATCCTCATATGTTTTCCCATGGGTACCTTGTCCTCCCGCTTCAGGGTAAAGCTTAATTAAGTGCCACCTCTGTAGCGGGATCTGCTCTGGTCCCTCAATCTCCTTCATTCTTCCACTGTTCTCTGTTCTCTACATCAGCCTTTGAGTTGTTTCAAAATACCTTTAAAATAATTTAAAAAAATTTTTTTTTCTGGAGACGGAATTTCACTCTTATCACCCAGGCTGGAGTGCAGCGGCACAATCTCAGCTCACTGCAACCTCTGCCTCCCGAGTTTAAGTGATTCTCCTGCCTCAGCCTCCCAAATAGCTGGTATTACAGGCACCCACCATCACAACTGGCTAATTTTTCTACTTTTAGTAGAGACGGGGTTTCACCATGTTAAACAGGCTGTCCCAAACTCCTGACCTCAGGTGATCCACCTGGCTCGGCCTCCCAAAGTGCTGGGATTACAGGCATGAGCCACTGTGCCTGGCCAAAATAATTTTAATTAATCATTTAATTAATCATTCTCCTTCTATGAAATATAAATTTTATAAGGGCAAGAACTTTGACAATTTTATTCATCTTTGTATCTTCAGTGCCTCCTTCCTGCAGTTATTACATAGTAGGTATTCAATAAGTATTTGTTGAATAACTGAATAAATTCACAAATTGGTGGTCATCTTTTAAGGAAATAAAAGAAAGAAGTCAAGTTAATTTTAGTAGAACATAAACAAAAATTTTTGTTTTAAAAATATTTTAATAACTTCAACCTTTGGCAATAACAAATTTACCTTTTTAAGAGGAAAAAAAAATTAAAAAGTCATTGAACTAAAAAGAAGACCTGGGTTTATTTTCATACACATCACCTTTGTAAATTTTTTAAAAGATTATTTAATTTTTTTAAATAATAATTATAATATTAAGTGTGGCATTTTTAAAGGTTTAATTTATTTGTTCAGTATTGAGTAGATTCTGGTAATATTCTATCATTTTTAAAGTCATGGCTATCAGTTTGATTCAACCAAAAAGGATCAATATTTGAATATTCACTGAAAGTAAAACATCTTAAAAGGTCCATGTTAAAACATATTCTCTGATTTTTTTCTTTTTTTTTTTTTTACACTTTTAAATTCAGGGGTACATGTAGATTTGTTACATAGGTAAACATGTGTCATAGGGGTTTGTTGTACAGATTATTTCATCACCCAGGTATTAAGCCTAGTACCCATTTGCTATTTTTCCTGATTCTCTCACTCTTCCCACTCTCCACCCTCTGATAGGCCCTAGTGTGTGTTGTTCCCCTCTATGTGTCCATGTGTTCTGTTCTCATCATTTAGCTCCCACTTATAAATGAGAATGTGGGCATTTAGTTTACTGTTCCTGCATTAGTTTGCTGAGGATAATGGCTTCCAGCTCCATCCATGGCCCTGCAAAGGACATGACCTCATTCTTTTACATGGCTGCATAGTATCACATGGTATATATTTACTACATTTTCTTTATCTAGTTTTCCACTGATGGGCATTTAGGTTGATTCCATGTCTTTGCTATTGTGAATAGTGCTGCAATGAACATACATGTATATGTGTCTTTATAAAACAATTTACATCCCTTTAGGTGTATACCCAGTAATAGGATTGCTTGGTCGAATGGTATTTGTCTTTAGGTCTTTGAGGAATCACCACGCTGGCTTCCACAATGGTTGACTCACGTACACTCCCACTATCAGTGTATAAGCATTCCTTTTTCTCCACAATCTCACCAGCATCTTTTATTTTTTGACTTTTTAATAGTAGCCATTCTGACTGTTGTGAGATGGTATTTCATTATGGTTTTGATTTGCATTTCTCTAATTATCAGTGATGTTGAGTTTTTTTTCATATGATTGTTGGCTGCATGAAAACTGTTCATTTGCCCACTTTTTAATAGAATTTTTCTTGTAAATTTGTTTAAGTTTGTTATAGATGTTGGATATTAGACCTTTGTCAGATGCATAGTTTGCAAAAATTTTCTCCCATTCTGTAGGCTGTCTGTTTACTCTGTTGATAGTTTCTTTTGCTGCACAGAAGCTCTTCAGTTTAATTATATCCCATTTGTCAATTTTTGCTTTTGCTGAAATTGCTTTTGGCATCTTCATTATGAAATCTTTCCCCATGCCTATGTCCTGAATGGTATTGCCTAGGTTGTTTCCAGGGGTTTTACATTTCAGTCTTTAACCCATCTTGAGTTACTTTTTGTATATGGTGTAAGGAAGGGACCCACTTTGAATCTTCTGCACATGGCTAGCCAGTTATCTCAGCACCATTTATTAAACAGAGAATCCCTTCCCCATTGTTTGTTTTTGTCAGGTTTATCAAAGATCAAACAGGTGTATGTGTGCAGTCTTACTTCTGAGTTCTCTATTCTGTTCCATTGATCTGTATGTTTGTTCTTCTACCAGTACCATGCTGTTTTGGTTACTGTAGCCCTGTAGTATAATTTGAAATCAGGTAGCATGATGCCTCCAGCTTTGTTTTTTTGCTTAGGATTGTCTTGGCTATTCAGGCTCTTTTTTGATTCCATATGAATTTTAAAATAGTTTTCTCTAGTTCTGTAAATAATGTCAATGGTAGTTTAGTGGGAATGTCATTGAATCTATAAACTGCTTTGGGCAGTATGGCCATTTTAATGATATTGATTCTTCCTATCCATGAACATTGAATGTTTTTCCATTTGTGTATGTCATCTCTGATTTCTTTGAGCTGTAGTTTGTAGTTCTCCTTGTAGAGATTGCTGGGCTCCCTTGTTCACTGTACTCCTAGGTATTCTATTCTTTTTGTGGCAATTGTGAATGGGAGCTCTTTCATGATTTGGCTCTTGGCTTGACTACCGTTGGTGTATAGGAATGCTAGTGATTTTTGTACATTCTAAAATTTTTAAATTAAAATCTTATCACATCCTAAAGGGTTGCCCCATAGTTTTATTATTTTTTTCTTTTCATGGGCTTGATCTTTTATTTCTTTATTTTCTTTATCCTACTAACTTAATAGAGGAAGCAAACAACAAGCAAGAAAACTATTAATTGTAAATTATTCATTGTAAAACTATTAACAATATATGTGGTAAGGAAGATTGGGAAGACTGTAATAGTAAAACCTAGATTATGGGATGCTACTTAAGTTTAGCACAATATTTAGCTCTCAACTACCTGTGAACCCATACAAAAGTAAAATAAAAAGTTACGTAGTACTTTAAAAAAGAAAGTAAATTTTCCCAGTTTCTGAATCTAGAAAGAAGTATCATGAAATTCTATTTTAAAAAAGACAACAGAAAAGAAAAAAAGGAAAACTAAACACATAAGTTATGCTTATTAAATTCAGTAAAAGAGCAACTATTCAGTTACGGTGATATAGGGGCAATGCCCTTTCAGCAAGAGCAATAAAGAAGTTAGGTTGCTCTTTGACAGACACTCTTCACAGGCTGATACAGGAAATGTATAATCTGTAATTCAACCTAAATTGGAGAATTTAATAAGAAAAATAAATGAGTAAAAAAGAAACAATAAAGATATTTGATAAGAAAAAAGGTTTTAAATCTGTTAAACTGATCAGGAACAACTCCACTTCAATGAACATACTTACGTTAGGCAACCAGTGTCAGTTCCTCACTTTTGAAAGTCAGGCAATCAGAGATGAATTCACATCAGTAAATACAATGCTAAGTGCCAACCAATCAACAATCTCATTCAAGTAACCATGCTTCCCCAGATACTATTAACTCATGCCTCTAAAAACCAGGCAAACCCCAAACCCTATATAAATGAGCATTCTGCTCTTAATGGACAGACTGTGCCTGACCAGCATAACTCTCCTTTATAGTAAGCAATCAATTCAGCTTTGTCTTTTTATTTCAGTTACTGAGTGGCAATCTCATCATCTATTGATACTTTCCAATGTATACTATATATTTTTTTACCTTTTGAATTTAAATGATGCAAATATATTACCTATTCAATAAATAAAATTTAAATTAAATGTTAGCTCAGAAATTGTTCTTGCTTATAGTTTCAAATGTAAATGACATCAGCAACTGCAGCAAAAAGTCTTAAATTGCTCTTAACTAATTTCACTATTAAGCAACGACATGTATAGCAGAATCAATAGTGTTCATATATTAGATGCTGATTTTACACATGATTAAAATGTGGCAGTCACTGAATGTTAGGCTAAAGTAGAATATAAATAATTACTGTAACTATTTACCTCCTATTTCTAAAAATGGGGAAACAAGAGAGAACCTCTCAGGAAACAGGTTAATGAAGGTTTTGAATGATGTCAAAACTAGGAATTAAGTCAAAGTCTAAATGTATCTAAAACAAAACTTGTCAATGTTAGTGTTGCTCTCTTAAGTTGATTCAAGTATAGAAAAAGGACAAACACTATTTTTAATTTTAAGAGTATAAACAACTATATTGTTATCTAACTTGTGGCCTGAAACTGAAACTCTTAAATTCTATATTTTAAATCTGACATAGAAATATAGAAATTAGCCTGGGTTAAACAGTGAGACCCCCATCTCTACAAAAAAAAAAAAAAAAGGAAAAAAGTTGAAAAATTAGCTGGGCGTGGGGGCATCTAGTCCTAGCTACTCAAGATGCTGAGGCAGGAGGCTCACTTGAGCCCAGGTCAAGGCTGCAATGAGCTATGATTGTGCCATTGTACTGCAGTCCAGCCCGGGTGATAAAGCCCTTGTCTTAAAAAAAAAAAAAGAAAGAAAGAAATACAGAATTTAAGAAATAAGGCCTAATTTTCAAATTTTTATTACCCCTCTGGTTTATTATGTTATGTTAATAATAATAATAGTCCTATGCTAATAATAATAATTATTATGATAGCTAATACATACACAGTGCTTTGTATGAGCCAGCCACTGTTCCAAGTGTTTTACAAATATTAACCCCAAAAAGTACTCTTTACAAAAACATCAGAAATCCAGACACATTCTCCTTATTCTAATCGAGACTTTAAATTGCTAAGATAAAGAGTTTCCTTATATAAATGAGACTTTAGTAACTCAAATTGCCTTTTCCAATTATGATTTTTTTTAAATACCAATTTTTTTCTTGCATATTATATGCTTAAACTCTTTGGCCTCTAAATTATTTTAATGCTGGCAGTAACTAAATTTCAGGTGAGAAAAAGAACTTGTATAAACTAACAGAAACATGTTGCACCCAGGATTCTTTCACATATTAAAGTTTAAAGATTTGGGTGTCCAATTTGAAAGTTACATGTCAGGAAAATGTTCATAAAGTAAAATATTATGTACACTAAACACATGGGCAAAACTTTAAGAATACTTTACCTCTGTTAACTCCAGAGCCTTATTGTAGCCCATAGAATGTAGAGTTACCCAAAGGTCACAAGGATCTCCTTCTCGATCATTGGCTTCCATTAGATTCAAATCCATAAATCCTTGTCTTGTTAGTTCATTCTTCTTTGTATCAAAATTCTCTGTTTAAACAACCAAGTTTTTTCTTACATAATTTAAAATTTCATACCTTTAATAAAATGCCTATGATATATTATTATGCATAAATATTTAATCTATGAGCAATCTAAAAGTGGAATAAAAATGACTCAAAACATTCTTGAGAGCTATCCTTCTGATTTCCCATAATTCAGCTTATGTCCTAGTAAGGTTTCATTTTTCAATAAATCCTGACATTACAAATAGTGCAAATATAATCTAAAATTTGAGGAAATTATAATATTTCTGGGCAAATTCCAATCTACCTGTTATTTAGAGCACACATTGCTATATATTTCAAAACTTAAAATGCTTCATATGTATTTACCACTTAAAGTCAGCAGAAACTGGATAAATTTGATATAATACTCCTCAAACTACTAGCATTTCAGAAAGAAAGATGTGAATAGTGCCATATTTAAGGATACTACTATATGCCTAATTCCTCTAATTTTAACTAAATCGTCCCCAAGTCTTGAAAGACTGACAGATAGTGGGAAGCACTCTGGAATCCATGAATCAACTTTCCCAGGTAAGTCTAAGTATGCCCATTTTAACACTATTTATGAGCAAAACTAAATTTACCTAGAAGTTTCTGACATGCATAATTCCTGAATTTGTCTCTAACACAGATAATAAGTAGTCATTTATTATGGATATTTTGTTAGCACTCCTACAACAGGAAAGATCTTATTTCCTAACTCACATCTATAATATACCCAAGGTAAATAGGTACTCTATTTGAGATAGCATCTCTTTTGTATGCATTATTGTAAGAAAAGCAGCAGAGACACAACTGCCTAAAACTGGCTAATTGATAGCTTAAAATATTTAGAGTTGAAAGTTATTCATAACTTTTTCAAAGGAAAAAATAAATGAAGATTAAATTCAATCATGAAGAGAAATGGTAGCCACAAAAATGGAGGTTAGAGCTACTATATAGGAAAGCAAGATGAAAAAATTATTTGATATATAATACAAATACATTTAAAAACATATATAGATACTATACCATAGAGACTATCAACAACTAATTTACTTTTTTTTTTTTATACTTTAAGTTCTGAGGTACATGTGCAGATCGTGCAGGATTGTTACATAGGTATACAAAGGCCATGGTGGTTTGCTGCATCCATCCCCCTGTCATCTATATTAGGTATTTCTCCTAATGTTATTCCTCCCCAATCCCCTCACCCCCTGCTATCCCTCCGTTAGCCTCCCCACTCCCAACAGGCCCTGGTGTGTGTTCCCCTCCCTTTGTCTCTATGTTGTTCTCATTGTTCAACATCCGTTAACGAGTGAGAACATGTTAATCTAATTTTAAAACTTAAAAATCTCAATCCTCATTAATTTTTTAAAAATTTATTAACATTTGACTTCAAGACTTACTAAAAGCTACAGTAATCAAGATAGAGTGGTAATGGTGAAAGAATAGCAAATAGATCAGAACAGAATAGAGAGCCCAGAAATAGACCAACACAAATATATTCAACTGATACTTGACAAAGGAGCAAAGGCAATTCAATGGAGAAAGAATACTCTTTTCCAACACTGGTGCTGAAACACCTAGACATCCACACACAAAAACAACAAAAACACCACCATCAATAATTAAAAAAAAAACAAACCTAGGCACAGACCTTATATACACCTGTCACAAAAATTAACTCAAAATGGGTCACAAACCCAAATGTAAAACATACAACTATAAAATTCCTAGAAAATATAGGAGAAAATCTAGGCAACTTAGGTTGGTGATGGGGTATTAGATATAACAACAAAAGCATATAAACCAAAAGTATGGCCTATGAAATAAAAAATTTGTAAATGGTGCTTCATTAAAATAAAAAACTTATAGGTGGGAACAGGGGCTCACACCTGTAATCCCAGCATTTTGGGAGGCCCAGGTGGGTGGATGATTTGAGGCCAGGAGTTTGAGATCAGCCTGGGCATTGGTGAAAGCCCATCTCTACTAAAAATACAAAAAGTCGTTGGGCATCGTAGTGCATGTCTGTAGTCCCAGCTACAACACAGGCTGAGGCACGAGAATCATTTGAACCTGGAGAGTGGAGGTTGCAGTGAGCTGAGACAGCAACACTTCACTCCAGCATGAGTGACAGAGTGAGACTGTCTCCAAAAAAAAAAAAAATAGAATTTTAAACTTCTGCTCTGTGAAAGACACTGTTAGGAGAATGAAAAGACAAGTCATACGTTGGGGAAAAGTATTTGCAAAATATACATCCATTAAGGGCTTATATTTAAAATACATAAAGAACTTTTAAAACTCAACAATAAAAAAATTCCAAGCTAAAAAATGGACAAAAGATCTAAACAGACACATCACCAAAGAAAATATACAGACAGCAAGTAAGTATATAAAAAGATACTCAATAACATATGTCATTAGAGAATTAAAAACTAAAACAACGAGATGCCACTGTACACTTATTAGAATGGCTAAAATCCATAGAACTGATAATGCCACATGCTGATGAGAAGGTGGTACAACAGGAATTCTCATTCATTGACGGTGGGAATACAAAATGGAACAGTCACTTAGGAAGACAGTTTGACAGATCTTTCAAAGCTAAACATAGTTTCACCATAGAACTCAGTAATTATTCAACTGAAATGAATAGAAAACTTAAGTCTGCACAAAAACATGCATACAAGTGTTTACAGCAGCTGTATTCATAACTGCCAGAAACTGGAAGCTACCAAAATGTTCTTCAACAGGTAAATGCATAAACAAACTATGGTACATCCATACAATAGAACATTATTCAACAATAAAGAGAAATGAGCTATTAAACCACAGGAAGACATGGAGGAATCTTAAATATAAATTGCTTGGTGAAAGAAGCCAGGCTGGAAAAGCTACATACTGTCTTATTCCAGCTGTATACCACTCTGGAAAAGACAAAATCATAGATATAGTAAGAAGAGCAGTGGTTGCCAGGGGTCTGGGGGATGAACAGGTACATGAATAAACAGTGCACAGGGATGTTTAGGGCAGTGAACTATTGTACATGATTTTGTAATGGTGGATACATGACATTATATATTTGTCAAAACCCATAGAACTGTACAAGACAAGACTGGAATCTTCAAGGGTTTGAGACCAGCCTGGGCAACATGGTAAAGCTAGTCTCAACAAAAAAATACAAAAATTAGCTGGGTGTGGTGGCACACACCTGTAGTCTTAGCTACTCAGAAGGCTGAGGTGAGAGGATCACTTGAACCTGGAGGCAGAGGTTGCAGTGAGTCGAGATCACACCACTGCACTCCATACTAGGTAACAGAGAGACTCTATCTCAAACAAACAAACAAAAAGAGTAAACCTAATGTAAACTATGAACTTTAGTTAATGATTATCTATCAGTATTCACTCATCAATTGTAACAAAGGTACCATACAAATGCAAGATGTTAATAATAGGGAAAATTGTAGATGAGGAAGAATATATGGAAGATTTTTTTTTTTTTGAGATGGAGTCTCACTCTGTCACCCAGGCTAGAGTGCGGTGGCATGATCTCAGCTCACTGCAACCTCTGCCTCCCAGGCTCAAGTGATTCTCCTGCCTCAGCCTCCCAAGTAGCTGGGATTACAGGTACCTACCACCACACTTGGATAATTTTTGTATTTTTAGTACAGATGGGGTTTCATCATATTGGCCAGGCTGGTCTTGAACTCCTGGCCTCAAGCAATCCTCTTGCATTAGCCTTCCAGAGTGCTAGGATAATAGCATGAGCCACAGCGCCCAGCCTTTGTTTTTCTGTAAACCTAAAAATTGCTTTAAAAATAGTCTGTTAATAAACAAAATAAAAATAAAAGCATCTTTAAGTATAAAAAAAGTTTATTAAAATAATCTTACAGATAAACAGTACATTTTCTTGTTATTCAGGGGAAACATTAAAACCTTAAAAGCTCTCATTTCTTTGTAGTATTATTAATGTTGGTGAAGTAGACATTCCTCCAAATCATTTTTCAAGACAATAAATCTTGGATACTTTTTGATAGCATGGAGTTCAAAGTTCTGGACCCTGACTATCTGTGAAACTTTCTTGCTGTGAAGCCTTGGTCAAGTTACTTAACCTCTAATTCTATTTCCTGATTTATAAAATGAGAATAATAAAGTACTACTTCATAGAGTTGGTGTGTAGAAGTGCATAGATCAGCAGCTGGTACATGGTAGATAGTAAGCTCTCAAAAAATGTTAACCATCAACTCTGCCAATTTAATTAAATTTTTAAATTAGAATTTTGCTTACCACCAACTTTACCATCAGAAAACCATAAATTCACTCTTATGGAATGTGCTCTAATGCCAATTAAAAGATTATATCATTAAAGTTACAAGACAATTATGTCTTCCTATAGATAATACTCTATTATGTATATGAATCTTATTAATCAAAGTATAATATTACAAATCAATATATATTGTTGTTGATTATATTAACTTTCAGCTAAAAGGAGAAATACTATAAGATTCCTTTACATAAATATTATACTTCTACCCTACTGCTGTTTAGGTAAACAGACTCCCAACCTGGCTCACTGACTTTGCCAAGTTTAGACCATTTTAAGACCCACACATTACTATTCCAATGAAAGCATATGTGAGTTAATCTCTCTTCAATGCATTCTGGTCTCCTCATATCTCTTGCTCCATGATCTATAGTTGGCTGTGGCTTTTGGCTTTCCCCTCTGATCTTGCAGTCTTTGGCTTAAATATGCAAGCATGTCTTCCCAAAATTCTCCTAAGTGACAACTAACTTTGCTTCATTCTCAGTGATTTTCTTTGTCCATCTTGGCATTTTGGCTTCAATGCTTCCATAGATGGATTTTTTCAGTTAAACTCAAATATAAAAAGCACTGAAGAATTTCTAATGTGTATAATATAGACAACTTCCTGGAAACTTAATTTGTAAGTAAAACTCTAGCTTATTGGCTTTTTGCTGCCCTCTCCTGGTCATCTTTTGTGTCTCTTGACCACTTCAGGCCCAGTTTTATCAAGTGCAAGGGCGAGTTCTTTGTCTTCTAAACCCCAGAGTAGAGGCTGAAAACTGAAATTATGATTAAGTAATTCATACTTTCTTTTAACTTGAGTATTATACCAACTATCAGTTTAAGAAAAATAAATGTTTTAGTTTTTATGATCTACAAACAATGCTACTACTTTCAAAATGTTCTAAATGCTATAATAATATTTCATGGAGAAGTTTGACTTCTTATTTCTTAGGGATGAAAAGGGCTTGATATATTTTTATACATCTGTTAAGAAAAAGAAAAGTGCTTACCTCTGCAGACAGCCCAAGCTTCTTCATCACATTTCTCACCACTTGTTCTCAATTCAAAAAAATTATATTCTTCAAGGCTAAGAAGACCATTTCCATCTAAATCAATCACTTCAAATATATCTGATAAAGTAGACCTAAAATTATAAAAATAGCTAGTTATTTCTTGTCTCTAAGGAACTACACTGAATAGGGGTTCTATGAGGATAACATTCAAATGGAAGTAGTATCATAGCATTATACAATTTCTGTAAACTATAAAGTTAATGTATCCAAATACAGTTATGGCTCAGTCCAGTATTACATGAGATAAACAAGCTTGTAAAGCAGCCACAGTATCCCAACATATAGTAAGAACTCAATGAATAGTAGTGGTTTCCTTCTTTTTTCCTTCCTCCAATCTACTTTCTTCTTCCTCTAGAGAAGGTAGACATATAGGGAGAAATTGGTAGATGTCTGAAGTTGACTTGCCAAATGTGTGGAACCCAGAATTAAATGACAATCCCAGATCTGCAAATGGAAGAACATTTTCAGATGCCTAAAGAATGAGTTGTTATGTTTTGATATATAGATTTATGATGTGCAATGTGATTTGCTGATATATGTATAATTGTGGAATGACTAAATCAAGCTAATTAACATATCCATTATTTCACATACTTATTTTTTTTCTAGTGGGAACATTTAATATCTATTTGCTTAGCAATTTTCAAGGATACAATATATAACTATAATCACCAGTTTGTCAATAGATCTCCTGAACTTATTCCTCTTATCAAACTGAAATTTTGTATCCTTTCACCAACATATATCTCCAATACTGCCACCACTCACAGCTGTTGTAACCAGTCTTCTACTCTCTGTTTCTATGAGTTTGACTTTTTTAGGCTGGCTGTGGTGGCTCAAACCTATAATTCCAGCACTTTGAGAGGTTGAGGCAGGATGCTCGCTTGAGGCCAGGAGTTTAAGACTAATCTGGGCAACACAGGGAGACTCCCATCTCATATAAAAAAAATTAGCCAGGCATGCTGGCAAGCACCTGTAATCCCAGGTGCTGCTACTCAGGAGAGGATCACTTCAGCCCAGGAGTCTGAGGCTTCAGTGAGCTGTGATTGTGCCAATGTACTCCAGCCTGGGTAACAGAGCAAACCTTTGTCTCTATTGAAAAAAAAGAAAGTTCCCACATATAAGTGAGATCATGCAGTATTTATCTTTCCGTGCCTGGCTTATTTAACTTAGCAGAACATCCTCCAAGTTCATACAGGTTATCACAAGAGTTGAACAGGTGAATTAGAATCTGAGGATGGGGGTAGGGGCTGGCCAAAGGAAAGGGAGTAACACAGGCTATTAATATCTATCCAGTCTAGATGTTATCATTTTAACCTTAATAAACAAAACTTACCTAAATTCCTTTGTAAGGAATAATTCCCCTGTTTCATCTCTATATACAAGTTGGGCTTCATCTGTTACTGGTTTTATTTCTTTCCTTAGCCTACAACCAGTTGTGGAAGGAATTAACCAGTAAATTCCAGGTCCTAGTTCACCAGTCCATCCAAACACCTTTTCTCAAAACAATGAAACAAAACAATCATATTAAAATCTTTTAATTTAAAGCTTTCAATATTTCTTCTGAAAGGGACTCATTAGGAATGATTTTTAAATCAATATTTACAAATTCTATTATAGTTCTATCAATCTTTTTACAGGTTTCAAATTCTTTTTCTTAATGGTAATCCCATTATGAAATCATTAGATATAGTAGTTCTTTATATATTTTTGAAACAAATGCCTAAAACTGTAACAGGAAAGTTACATATCTTCTAAATCTTCCCCAATAATCTTCAAAAATGTCTGTGATGCAGATACCTTCAAGAGGAAGCAAAGATACATTTTAGGGTCATTTTTTTATTCAAACACTGAGCTCCTTTTAAAAAAGTTATAATATTCTAGATTATGGTTTCCTAATTTGATTCAGATATAAATATATGATTTCTAAATCATATTTCAATGACATAAAATAAAAATTAAATATATTTTCAAATAGTTCACTATTGGTATAAATTAACCATATTTCTGAGAGTTCAATTATGTGGATGAAAGCTCTGGAATTTTACTTTTTGTAATGTAATATGGACTATAAAACAAGAAGCAGAATCCCAAATAAACCAGCTTTATGTGAAATTCTGTTTCCTATCAAATGTTGAATATTTATCATAAGTACCAGGACACTGTATAGGAAAACATTTTATTCTCCAGTTCTATAAAAGGAAGCAGGCCAGGCATGGTGGCTCACTCCTGTAATCCCAGCAATTTGGGAGGCCAAGATGGGTGGATCACTTGAGGTCAGGAGTTTGAGACCAGCCTGGCCAACATGGTGAAACCCCTCCTCTACTAAAACTACAAAAATTAGCTGGGCATGGTGGGGGGCACCTGCAATCCCAGCGACTCAGGAGTCTGAGGCAGGAGAATCGCTTGAACCTGGGAGCGGGGAGGAGGAGGTTGCAGTGAGCTGAGATTGCGCCACTGCACTCTGGCCTGAGCAATAGAGCGAGACTCTGTCAAAAAAAAAAGAAAAGCGAATGGTATCCCTCTATGTATCTCCTAAGAGCTTTCTGGAGCCCAAACGTTTCTATAAAAGCTGGCATTTGTCTCTGTTAAATGTATTAAATCTAAGCAATTTCTACTTGTGTGTAATAACTTCGGTACAGACTAACCTAAGGGAATCCTTTCAGGTATTATGTCCAAAAATTCCTTTTAAAGCTCAGGTATAGGGTCAGACACAGTGGCTCATACCACCAGTGGCCAAGGTGGAAAGATCGCTTGAAGCTACGAATTAAAGACCAGCCTGGACAACATAGTGAGATGCCATCTCTGCAAATAATAACAATAATAGAAATGCAGCTGTAGTCCTAGCTACCTGAGATGCTAAGGCAGGAAGATATTTGCACCCAGGAGGTCATGGTTACAGGGAACTGTATCACTGCACTCCAGTCTGGGTGACAGAGTGAGACCCTATCTCTAAACAAATAAACAAACAACTGCTCAGGTATATTTCAGGTCATTCTGGAGACTCATATACAAAATAAAGTTGCTCATCTAAATTCTGGGTTTAGTTCTATTTCTTCCCTGCCAACTTAGACAAATCATAATCTTCCTAAGGTGAAGATTTTGATACAAGAAGATATCCAATATAACCAAAAGACACTTTTAAGACTAAATGTTGGCCAGGCTTGATGGCTCATGCCTGCAATCTAGCACTTTGGGAGGGCAAGGTGGGTGGATCACAAGATCAAGAGATTGAGACCATCCTGGCCAACATGGTGAAACCCCGTCTCTACTGAAAATACAAAAATTAGTTGGGCATGGTGGTGCGTGCCTGTAGTCCCAGCTACTCAGAAGGCTGAGGCAGAATCACTTGAACCCAGGAGGTAGAGGTTGCAGTGAGCCAAGATAATGCCACTGCACTCCAGCCTGGCGACAGAGTGAGACTTTGTCTTATAAAAAAAAGAGAGACTAAACATTTACCACATCCATCCTTTGAAAAGCATAAGCATTTGAAATTGGCCAAATGTAGAGTCGGGAGTAAAAAAATAGATCTTGCTGCTTCCTAATACATATTATCCCATGATCCTCCCTTATCTCCACATATAACCTTGCATTGCCACTGTGGATGGCAAATAAAGTTTTTTTCATGGGTACAAAATTCATCTATAAGAAAATAATTGTGAAACTATAAATACAAATAAAAAAATTCTTTGTAAATGTAACATACTACATACAGATAAACAGAAGCCTATAAAGAGGTAAATAGAAACTCATGAAAACTTCATTATAGTTTTGCTATATACTAATTTTTTACACATGTACTCTCATAAGTAATTTTACCCAAAACAAAGTGGAAACAGCTATTGTTTTAGACAATGCTTTATCTTGAACTTAACTTTGTAGTCAGTTCTGAAGAAGAGTTTAGTCAAAACATTAACTTCAGCCAATTTTATTTGTTTCTTGCCTATTCTTGTCTGTTAGGAGGCCTACAATAAAGACTTTTATATAACATTCCATCAGGGAAATGCTTGTCTGTCATTGAGCCTATATAAAGATTAAATATGATATTGCAGTAAGCCCTTGAATAGTATTATTTCTGTTGTATAACAGATGTATTTTGTAGTCCTCATAAAATAAATAGCCACATTTATGTATTGGCCTCACATATTTGGCCTCTGACTAAATATATAATTAAAAAAGATCAGAACAACCCCATGGGCAACATACAAAAACATTTAAAAGCATTTTTTCGTATCAGTCTATTTTTGAACCCTATAAAATAAGTCAAGCCTGAGGATAGTAATCTTAAAGTTTTTCTGTTTTGCGGTAGTAATATAAGTAAGACAAACATCTCCAGCAACTTTTCCAAAGTCTTGAATTGCTTGCGTTCAGGGAAAAAAATATACTGGCATCAACCTTTTTTATTGAGTATATCAAATGTTCACATGTGAGGCATCAGGGCGTTGAGAAAAGATGAAAGTGAGGTACAATATTACCCAACTTACAAGGTACAAACCAAGACTCAAAACTGCCAACCAATCCTCAATTCTTTATTTAAATTGTTTTAGAGACAGGGTCTCATTATGTTGCCCAGGCAGAAGTGCAGTGGTTATTTACAGGCATAATCATAGCATAATACAGCTTTGAACCCCTGGGCTCAAGTAATCCTCCTGCTTCAGTTTCCCAAGTAGCAGGGACTTCAGGTGTAAGCCACCATGCCCAGCTCCTATCTTTAATTCTTAAGAAATCCCAGCAAACAAAAAAAAATTCTTCATAATTAATAAAACACATATAACTATAGTGTTTAAGTACTGTTTATACCTTAATTCGAAGGTATATAAAAGCTTAAAAAATAAAATATAGAAAAATCCTTTTCCCAAACTGCAGTTCATACTATATTTAAGAATTAAACATTAGAAAATAAATATGTATACTTCTCTATTTCGTAGTTCGGTAAAACAAACAAGCTGTAGATTTGCTTGACTCTCATTTTCCTTGAGAATATACAAGGCGGTATCAACAGATAACCAAGGGGATGGTTTTCCTACAAACAGAAAAAAAGCCCAAATGTCTTAAGCAATCACTACCTATTCTTTCCTATACAAAAAAGAAGTTACTAGTTTCTTCTTGGATATTTTCTTTATAAATACATATTTTTTTTTTTTTTTGAGACGGAGTCTCACTCTGTTGCCCAGGCTGGAGTGCAGTTGCACAATCCTGGCTCACTGCAACTTCTACCTCCCAGATTCAAGTGATTCTCCTTCTTCAGCCTCCTTACTAGCTAGGACTACAGGTATGTACCATCACGTCCAGCTGATTTTTGTATTTTTAGTAGATATGGAGTTTCACCATGTTGGCCAGGATGGTCTTGATCTCCTAACCTCATGATCCACCTGCCTTAGCCTCCCAAAGTGCTGGGATTATAGGTGTAAGCCACCACGCCCAGTGCATATTCCATTTTTATATGTAAACATCATAGCATTTGCAATAAGGCACAAACCTAAATACAGCGATCTCGTAAGAAATATTTTCTATATACTCACTTTCTAAAAATCATAATTTTCCTTGAACTCATCAAGAGCTGAGGTTGCAGGGCAACCAATTAGCCTGAAATCTAAGGAAAAACAGATATTTTCAGGGAGAAATAGGATTTAAGCACTGGCTTACCTGTGGTGGAGCACAGGAGGAAGAGATGTCAGACATCTATGTGCTGGCAACCCCAAAATTAATATCTTTACGATCTTTCCTCTATTAAATAAACAGTTAAATATCCATATAACTGTGTATTTAACATTTCCACCTGGATTTCTATTTCCAAAACTGGACTTCCCCAATCCCTTTTTAAAACACTGTCCACCTAAGTTAATGGTAACTCATTCTTTCCAGTTGCTCAGGTCAAAAATCTTAGAATCTTCTTTAACCCTTTTCTTCTCTCACATAACAAGACCAATCCTTCGGAAGTCCTATGGTTCTGCCTTCAAAATATACCCAGAATCTCTACAGCCCCCTCTCCCACCTACATCCCAGTTCAAAGCATTGCCAGTCCTCTCCTAGAATTCTGCAATAACGTCCCAGCTTGATTTCTTGCTTTCCCTGCGTATCCTTCAGTCTATTTTCAATATAGTAACCTGACTGCTCTTGTTAAAATATAAGTCAGATTATGTCCTGCCTTCTACTCAAAACCCTGTAATGGAGCAGAGAGTTGGGAGAATATTGCTCCTTTCCTAACAACAAGAAAAAGTTAATGAACTACAAAATCATAACTTTTCTTGATCCCATCAGAGCTGAGGTTGCAGGGCAACTATAAGCTTAAAATCCAAGGAAAGACAGATCTTTCTCAGGAGAGATGTGATGTTAGCCCTGGTTACCTGTGGTGAAGAGGAGGAGGAAGAGATCTCAGGTGCCATACAAGTAGAAGAAGAAAGAGGGCAGAAGAAATATTTGAAGAAATAAAGGCAGAGAATTTTCTAAAAATAATGAAAGGGAACAAGCCACAAATCCAAGAAGCTCAGAGAACCCCAAGCAGGATAAATAGCAAAAAACAAAAAAACCGAGGCAATAGCATCAACAACAAAAACAAAAACTACCTAACACATATTCAAACTGCTCAAAATGAAAGATTAAGAGAAAATCTTGACCTAAAATATAGGGGAAAAAAAACTCACAAAAAACAAGGGGAAAAACCTCATTTCTGTGATTAAAAGCCAAAGTCCTAATTACGGCAAAAAGATACCTCTGCCTGATTTTCTCCTTGTTCATCCCCAGCTTCATCTCCTACAACTCTCTCCTCACTCCATTTGAGACATTCTAGCCTCTGTTCTTCTAACACCAGTACACTTTCACAGAGCCTCCGCACAGGGTATTCTCTCTACGTGGAATGCTCTGCCACCTCCTCCACTCTGCCCATCACTTCCAGCACCCTACACCGACAAAGTTTACTCCCTTGCATTCTGTGAAAGAGAGCAAAAATGGCTGTCCTCCAGTATCTACAGTCCTTTGCAATGTGACTTTGCAGCTTTTCCATGAGGAGATCTAGTCTATTTCCCCAACCTATGAATCCGGACTTGCCTTGTAACTTTCTGTGAGCAACAGAATATAACAGAAGTAACATTATGTTGGTTTAGCCCAGACCTCAGGAGGTTCTACTGTGCTACTGATTTTTTTTTTCAGATCCCTATGATATGAAGAGAACAGGCCCAGGCTAGTTTACTGGAAGATTTTTAAAGATCATACAAGGCTGAATCAAGTTGTCCCAGCTGGACATACAGAAGAGTGAACCAGGCCAAGATTAGCAAAGCCAGCCACCAGCTAACCTGTAGGTAACCATAACTGTGTGAGCAAGCCCTACAGATTAAAAATAAGCCTGGCTCAGATTAAGAACTACCAGATCTAATGATTCATGAGTCAACAAATGTTTAATTGTTTTAAGCTACTGAGTTTTGGGGTAGTTTTTTTATGTAGCAGTGGTAACGCATACACCTCTTTCAAAGTCTTTATACATGTCACCTTCTTAATGAAGCATACACTAACCACTTCATTTCAATGGCAACCCACATTCCCTCAGCATTCATCATCCCCCTTTCCCTCCAATTTTCCCATAACACTTATCATTTTCCTACATACCATCTCATTTACTATTTATTATGTTTATTATGTATTGTTTCCCCAACTAAAATGCACATTGACAAGGGCAGGGATTTTTGTCTTTTTTGTACTCTAATGTATCCTAAACATCTAAATTGATGCCTGGTACGTAAGGCCCTCAATAACTATTTGATAAGCAAATGAATAAAGGAATCTTATTAATAAGAATACAGAGAATTAACAACTACACTGAATTTGTAGGGCTATCTTGATTCCTCTCTCTGAAAAATAACTATTGTTATTGTCACTTAAAGTATCATCTGCCAAACATTATAGCTATCCTACAAGATATGCAGTGAAAACTTTCAAAATCTCTACTTTAGGAGGAAAAATGAATGGGGATGGGGGAAAACTCTCTAGTAAGAAAATGCTTATGGCTGGGCGTGGTGGCTCACACTGTAATCCCAGCACTTTGGGAGGCCAAGGTGAGCAGATCACCTGAGGTCAGGAGTTTGAGACCAGCATGGCCCCATCTCTACTAAAATACAAAACTTAGCTGGGCATGGTAGCACATGCCTGTAATTCCAGCTACTCAGGAGGCTGAGGCAAGAGAATCGCCTGAACCCAGGAGGTAGAAGTTGCAGTGAGCCAAGATCACGCCATTGCACTCTAGCCTGGGCAACAAGAGCAAAACTCCATCTTAAAAAAAAAATGCTTATATATAAACATTATAAAAGAAAAATAAATATTGATTTAGAACAATCAACATTAAAAAAGGTATCTAGGGAAATAACCCTTATAGAAATCGTTCATTGCTTAAAAATTATATAACCATTTTAGACACTAGAAAATTATTTTTATCTAGAATATTACCATGAATATAAAGATTATTAATATATATTGTCTAAGACACAAAGGGTTTTGAAGGTATTAAAAAATACTTGCAGTTTCATATTGTTCCAAATTATGTCCCTACAGAACTTCTCTTTGACATACTAATTTTAAAAATGGCTGAGTGGAAAAGCTAAGATTAATTAGCAAATAAAAAGTTAGTTCTGGCCAGGTGCGGTGGCTCATGCCTGTAATCCCAGCCAAGGGAGGCCAAGGCAGGTGGATCATCTGAGGCCAGGAGTTTGAGACCAGTTTGGCCAACATGATCAAACCCCATCTCTACTAAAAATACAAAAAATTAGGGTGGGCAAGGTGGTGCATACCTGCAGTCCCAGCTACTCAGGGAGGCTGAGGCAGGAGAATCCCTTGAACCTGGAAGGCAGAGGTGCAGTGAGCCAAGATCAAGCCACTGCACTCCAGCTGGGGCAACAGAGGGAGACTCCATCTCAAACAAAAAAAAAAGTTCTATATTATGAGGAAATCAGTTAATATCTTTTTTTCTTTTCTTTTCTTCTATTCTAGACGCAGAAAGTTTTGGGGAAAGTTCTTGTTTTTAATAAAACATGCTTTAAACATATACACAAAGCAATTTACTTGCTTTTCATATGTTTAACACAGTCCATGAATAGGCCAACACTTTCTTGAAATGTAAGCATATATTTCTCACTTAGGCAGATTATTTTCTTCTCTAACTAGGACTATGGAATACTAACATAAGTACGTTCAAAGAGGGTACAAATTGACATTTTAAAATATACAAAAACTTTAAACTTGCCTTCAACTTGACTCAGATTTAATGGCTTAATTGTTAGATAAACCATGGACCTCTGAGCTATTTGCATCCTGTACTGATGACTAACGATTTCACCATCTTCTTCCAAAAAGAAGCAACCTTTTGATTGCATGCATTGCCAGTCCTGAAATGAAGAAAAAAAATTTTTTCAAACAATATTTATTAAGTGTTTCCAGTATGCATAGTAATGAGGAGAAAACTCAGGAGGATATAAAAGAAATGTCAAATATAATCATTGCTCTCCAGGAATGTACAACATAGGAGGTAAAAAACAGCATAACAAAATCCAATTATAGGTGGGGCGTAGTAGCTCACACCAGTAATCCCAGCACTTTAGGAGGCTGAGGTGGAAGGATAACCTGAGGTCGGGAGTTTGAGACCAGCCTGACCAACATGGAGAAACCTCATCTCTACTAAAAATACAAAATTAGCCAGGCGTGGTGGTGCATGCCTGTAATCCCAGCTACTCAGGAAGCTGAGGCAGGAGAATCACTTGAACCCAGGAGGCAGAGGTTGTGGTGAGTTGAGATTGCTCCATTAAACTCCAGCTTGGGCAACAAGAGCAAAATGCCATCTCAAAAAAAAAAATCCAATTATAATTGGCAGTAATATATGGTTAATATAAAAAGATTATTATATATGCAAAAGAATTTACTATAATCCAAGTTCCTAAAATAGTACCTAACACCTTGGCTCGACAAATACTTATTGTCTGACTGATTGGGGTGGAGGGGCTGATGTAAACTGAGTGTGTAACTGAGATGAACTATACTATGAAGAATAGATAGCATTTCAATAATGAAAAGTTAGGAAAAGACATAAGTGAGAGAAGAAGTAAGAAAAATAAAGTTGGCTGGGTGCGGTGGCTCATGCCTGTAATCCCAACACTTTGGGAGGGTAAAGCAGGTGGATTAGGAGGTCAGGAGTTTGAGACCAGTCTAGCCAACGTGGTGAAACCCTGTCTCTACTAAAGATACAAATATTAGCTGGGCACAGCGGCAGGCGCCTGTAATTCCAGCTATTCAGGAAGCTGAGGCAGGAGAATCGTTTAAATCCAGGAGGGAGAGGCTGCAGTGAGCTGAGATCTGGCCATTGTACTCTAGTTCGGGCAACAGGGCGAGACCTTGTCTCAAAAAAAAAAAAAAAAAGAAAGTTCATGAGAGTGGGAGAAGTATTGAAGAAAAGTAATAAATAAATATGTTGTTGTAATAGAGTAAGATTAGTGTTAGTAGCACAGTAAGAAGGAAGAATTAAGGATTGCTAAAATAAATATATTAAAAGGAAAAATGACTAAATATTAAAGCAAAATAATTGTTTCAAGTGTAGGTAACTAGAAGCACGCTGCATAAAAGTTTCACAGCTACAGAACAATGCTGATAAATACAAAATATCAGTTTTAAGAAAGACTTTTCTATATTGGCTTTACCATTTCTTTGTCTAGCTAAATCCCTTCTATGGGATCTCATAACTAGAAATGAGTAAAACTTGGCCAGGTGCAGTGGCTCATGCCTGTAATCCCAACACTTTGGGAGGCCGAGGCAGGTGGATCACTGGAGGTCAGAAGTTCCAGATCAGCCTGGAAAACATGGTGAAACCCTGTCTGCACTAAAAATACAAAAATAGTTGGGTGTGGTGGCACACACCTGTAATCCAAGCTATTCTGAAGGCTGAGGCAGAAGAATTGCTTGAACCCGGGAGATGGAGGTTGCAGTGAGCTGAGATCGCATCGCTGTGCTCCAGTTTGAGAGACAGAGGGAGACTCCGTCTCAGAAAAAAAAAAAGAAAGAAATGAGTAAAACTTGAAAATGGTACCTTGGGCAGAAAGTAGAAGATTCTTTACTGAAGTCATGAGTGTCATTACCATAGCTATGTGCAAAAATGCTTTTCGCTTTATTATTAGTAGGTTTGACTACCTGTAATGTAAGACCTATTTGTGTTCTACTTCTAATGACTTCTAAAACTAGAGTATTAATGAGGTGTTGATGTGACTTTATAAAGAAAGAGTTTTAAGTAAAGGTATTTAGATAATAAGTTCAGGGCTTTAATAACATGGATAACTACTGAAAAGGTGTGTGTTAGCTCTATAAAAATAACATCATAAAGATTTTTTAATTCATTATAGAAAGATTTGTTATGGCACTGAAAAAGCAAAAATAATTTACAATGAGATCAGTTTCTTGTTCACATTTTTTAAAAAAAGACTAAATTATCCTAACTTATAGTTACATCTCATTTTTCTATTTTACATCATAATTATTTTCATAGTTTATATTATTTTGATATATCTAAAATAATTTAAAAATTAAAAAATAGCTATCATTCTAATGCACTATTTAGATTTTTATGTAATCCTGATACTGACCTTATGTAGATCTATTTTTTACATTCTAATAAACACTGCTTTATGTTCTACTTTTAAAATTTAATTTTATATCCAAAATATTTTGCTGTTGAAAAATAATGAAGCTAGGGGACTTATAATTTCTGATTTCAAAACATACTACAAATATACAGTAATCAAAATGGTGTGGTACTGGCATAAAGACATATAGACTAATAGAATAAAATGGATAGCTCTGAAATAAATCCTTGCATATATCAAATTCAGCAAGGGTGCCAAGACCATTCAATGAGGCCAAGGACAGTCTTTTCAACAAATGAGGCTGGGAAAACTGGATATCAATCTGCAAAAGAACACATTTGGGCTCTTGTGCAACACATAAAAATTAAACTGAAGACCTAAACATGCTAAAACTATAAAACTCCAAGAAGAAAACAAAGGGGAAAAGCTGACACTGGATATGGCAATGATTTCTTGGCTATAACAAAAGCACAGGCAACAATGAAATAAATTGGACTTCGTCAAAATTTAAAAATTTTGTGCAACAAAGGACATGACCAACAGAATGAAAAGGTAATTCACGAAATGGGAGAAATTATTTGCAAAACACATATCCAAAAAGGAATTAATATCTAGAGCATATAAAGAACTCCTACAATTCAACAACAAAACAAACAACCAGATTTTTTTAAATGGGCAAAGGAATCATCAAATGATCAGCTCTCCAAAGAAGATATATGGAAGGCCAATAAGCAAATGAAGAAATGCTCAACATCACTAATCATTAGGGAAAAGACAAATCATAACCTCAGTGAGATACCACCTGACACCCACTAGGATAGCTGTTATCAAAAAAAACAGAAAATGACAAGTGTTGGTGAGTATGTGGAGAAACTGGAACCCTTGTGCGTTGTTGACAGGAACATAAAATTCATAAAATGGTGAAGCAATTGTGAGTAATATTATGGTAACTTCTCAAAAAAGCAAACCTGTAATTCTTTATGATCTAGCAATTCCAACTTCTGGGTATATACCCAAAAGAATTACAAGCAGGGGTTCAAACGGATATGTTTGCTCGTATTCTCATAGCATTACTGCTCACAATAGGTAGAAACGATCCAATGTCAATCAATGGAAAAACAGATAAATAAAATGTGGTAAATACTTACAAGGGAATATTATTCAGTCTTAAAAAGGAATAAAATTCTGGCACATGCTATACATGAGTCTTGAAGACATTACACTTAAGTGCAAAAGGACAAATATTGTATGATGCCCTTATATGAGGTGCCTGGAGTGGTGAAATTCAGAGAGACAGAAAGTAGAATGCTGGTTGCCAGGGGCTGTGGAGAGGGGGAAATGGGGAATTATTGTTTAATGAGTAGAGTTCCATATGAAAAAGTTCTGGAGATGTATGGTGGTGGTAGTGATGGTTGTACAACAGTGTGAATGTACTTAATGACACAGAACTGTATACCTCAAAATTAGTAAAATGGTAAACTTTATGTTTTGCATATTTTACCACAAGAAAGTTATGCAATATTCAAAATTTCAATTTAATTGGTTCTATGATTAAAAATTGAGTTGGGTCGAGGCACAGTGGTTCACTCCTGTAATCCTAGCACTTTGGGAGGCCAAGGTAGGTGGATTACCTTAGGTCAGGAGTCCGAGACAAACCTGGCCAACATGGCAAAACTCTGTCTCTACTAAAAATACAAAAATTAGCCAAGCATGGTGGCAGGCGATTGTAATCCCAGGTACTCAGGGAGGCTGAGGCAGGAAAATCGCTTGAAACCAGCAGGTTCAAAATTGGGCTTGTGGCAGAAGTTCAACTTTTTAAAAAAAATATGGAGTCTTGCTCTGTTGCCCAGACTGGAGTGTAGTGGCATAATCTTAGCTCACTGAAATGTCCACCTCCCAGGTTCAAGCAATTCTTCTCCCTCAGCTTCCCGAGTAGCTAGAATTACAGGGGCCTGTCACCATGCCCAGCTAATTTTTGTATTTTTAGTAGAGACGGGGTTTCACCATGTTGGCCAGGCTGGTCTTGAACGCCTGAACTCAAGTGATCTGCCCACCTTGACCTCCCAAAGTGCTGAGATTATAGGTGTGAGCCATCATGCCCAGCCCAAGTTCAACTATCAATCATGAGTAATGATGCACAGACTTTCATTTAGCTCCCCTGTAAATCTCTTGGATAGGCATATATATGGACTAACAACAGATGCTGGCATTACCTCAGACCTAATTGCCCTTAATATAATCAACATGACCTTGGATAATGATGACTGCTAAAGATTAGGAATGAAAGAAATATACAATATTTAGACACGTTACACTTTGAGACAGTCTGAACTATGATTCTGACATTAAATGGAAAACAATGAAATGTTTTCAATCAGTTTTGATTATAGCATCAAGAGAAAATTTCATCCAATATATTTTATAAATATATTTTTTATATTTACCTATTTGGAATGGTAAAGGATACTACTTTAGAATTACAGAATCTTAAAGGTAGAAGAAATCTAAAAAGCAATCTAGTCCACACTTCTCTTTTGATTGATAAAAAAAAGTCTGAATAAAGTGATATATGTGGAAAGCCATAGTTCTCAATTGACAGCAGAACTACAACCAAAACCTAGGTCTCCTTACTTTCTCTCCAGTGTATAAGTTATATTGTTAAGTTCTGCTCTATTTCACATTTAAATATCTGCAGTGATTTTTTTTAAAGGCAGTTTTTAAAAGAAACTTTATGAATATGATATCATTATAATAAAGTATGG